GGAACTGACGAGCACAAGTGTAGAGCACATCATTGTCAATCCTAATGCTGCCTATGACAAGTTCAAAGACAAGAGAGTGGGGACAAAGGGACTTGGTGAGACTGGGCTGTAAACTGGCTGGGGGGAATCTGTCCTCAGGCCTTAGTGCCTTTTGCTTTGGGAAAGGGTCCCTCATAGAGATCCCTGGTGGAAGCCTTCATTGTCACCTGAGACCTTGACTCCCTTGGGCTTAGATCAGGCCCTTAATTTCATCTTCTTTTGTTGACAGATTTCTCAGATCGTATTGGAAAAACCAAGAGGACAGGATACGAATCTGGAGAATATGAGATGGTTTGTTGTGTGTGTGTTGATGGGAGATGGGAAAGGTACAGTGATCCTCTCTAGCAGGAGATCAAGGGATGCTGTCAGATTCTGAGTTTCTCTTTGGTTGGGGGTCCCCAACCAGAGGGGATGGGGAAAGAGGAACCCAGAAGGATGCATTTGAGGATGCTTTATTCCTCTGGAGAGTCTCCAGGCCTCCAGCTATCTCAGTTCAATAGGGTGTAGTAGATTCTGAGTTGGATGTAATACCCTTAAAATTCAAGCCCAGGGTTTGGATAAATTCTTGAGGTTCCCTGTACTGGGAGGTATAACATCACCTTTTGTGCTTGCTCTCTAGCTTGGAGAGGGTCTGGGAGTGAAGGAGACACCCCAGCAAAAGTACCAGCGACTATTGCATGAGGTCCAAGAGCTGACAACTGAAGTTGAAAAAATCAAGGTAACTATAAACTATCTTCTCCCCTCTCTGCTGTGACTTATAGAACAGAGGAGGACCTCCCAGCAGGAGGAGAACGAGTCCCTATGCTCCTGGATCCACACGAATCTATATTCAGTGCTATAGGTGACTTCCAGCCACAGCTAGATCTGACCCTTTTTTTTTCCTTAGTTCACTCTTGCCACCCTTCAACTGTCTACTTTTCATACCAGACAACAGTGAAGGAATCAGCCACTGAGGAGAAGCTGACCCCCGTGGTGTTGGCTAAACAGCTGGCAGCCCTGAAGCAGCAGCTGGTTGCTTCCCACCTGGAGAAGCTGCTGGGACCAGATGCAGCGATCAACCTTACTGACCCTGATGGAGCTCTGGCTAAGTGGGTGCTCTACTTGGTTGAGAAATCATTGCTAATTGGGGTGTAGAGGGACTGAGCCAGGTAGTGACAGGGCTATTAAGGGAAGAGATGGCCTAGCGGTTCCTTAATGCTGACTACTCTGAGGTAGAATGAGAAAGAGTGGCTGGGCTGGCCTGCATCCTTCAAGTCATGATATTATTACTTGGTCTTCTGACCTAGGCGCCTACTACTACAGCTGGAGGCAACAAAGAACAGCAAAGGGGCTGGTTCAGGGGGAAAAACCACAAGTGGGACCCTCCCAGATAGCAGCCTTGTCACTTACGAACTACATTCACGGCCTGAGCAAGACAAGTTCTCTCAAGCTGCCAAAGTAAGTATGTATGTACTGTGGGTTGGGGGCCCAAGAGGGAGGCAGGGGAGATGTGGCCCTAGAGACTTTCCTGCCTTCCTCCAAGGGATCAGTTCTGGGGAGAGGGTGCTTCTGATCTTTTTAAAATATATATATATTTTTGATTTCAGAGAGGAAGGGAGAGGAAGAGATAGAAATGAGAATTGATTGGCTGCTTCCTGTACGCCCCCTAGTGGGGATTGAGCCCACAACCCGGGCATGTGCCCTTGACGGGAATCTAACATAGAAGCCTTAAGTCCACAGGTCGATGCTCCATCCACTAAGCCAAACCAGCTAGGGCGCTTCTCATCTTTTTTTTTTTATATATATATTTTTTTATTGATTTCAGAGAGGAAGGGAGAGGGAGGGAGAGAGAAACATCAATGATGAGAGAGAATCATTGATTGGCTGCCTCCTGCACGCCCCCCACTGGGGATCAAGCCCCACAACCCAGGCATGTGCCCTTGACTGGAATCGAACCCGGGACCTTTCAGTCCACAGGCTGACGCTGTATCCACTGAGCCAAACCAGCTAGGGCGCTTCTGATCTTCTTGATGTCTCATTCTTCATGTTCCCCTCACCCATCTACTTTCAGTTGAGATTTTAAGATTATGACTAGGGATATGTTCCTTGGAAAGGCATCCATTGGTAGAGGGAAGAGCAGAGGGGAGTTGCGAGCAGACAAGCAGAGGATAGCAGGATCTTACCTCCCACTGCAGCAGCAGGGAGGTGAGGGCAAATCTCACCTCCTTTCTCCCCCTAGGTTGCAGAACTTGAGAAGCGCCTGACAGAGCTGGAAGCAACTGTACGCTGTAATCAGGATGCTCAGGTCAGGTGCTCTCCTATTCTTAGTCTTATCCTCACATTCTCTACCCTCAGCCTGAGGTCCACAGCATTCCACAGAATCCTGGGAGGCGTCAGGAAAGGGTGTCAGTTCTGGGATCAGCCAGTGGGCTCCCGCTAGAACAGGAAGGATGGGGAGAGTGGTAATCATATGGAGAGAGTAGAATCACTGATTTCTTCCTTCCTCTTCCCCACCAGAATCCCCTTTCTGCAGGTCTGCAGGGAGCCTGCCTAACAGTGAGTGTGAAAAAGAACTGGAGTGTTTGGGATACGAGGGGATATTGGGATCGGGTTGCTTGGAGAATTATTTTGAGGTCTACATCTATATATTAATTACTCTCAGTGGAATATGGTGTGGCCTCTTCCTAGTCTGATCTTTTCCCCTTTATGAAACTTGTCCCAACCCCTTCCCCCAGGAGACTGTAGAACTGTTGCAGGCAAAGGTGAGCGCCCTGGACCTTGCAGTTTTGGACCAAGTGGAGGCTCGGCTACAGGTATTAAGTGGAGGACAAAGTGGATTACAGATCGCTTGGGACTTTGGAAGCCCTGGATGCACTTACCTATCAGCCTTAAAATCTGTGTTTGCAGAGTGTCCTGGGAAAGGTGAATGAGATTGCCAAGCATAAAGCTTCTGTAGAGGATGCAGATACACAAAGCAAGGTCAGGAAGACATCTTTCCCCATCTATCTACCCTTTCCTGCTTCCTTATGTTCTCTGAGTCATCCTGGTGGTAATGAGAGCACTGAATCCTCAGGTCCCTGTCTTTATAAACCCATGTCAACTGAGAAAGTCAGGGTAGTGCTTTGCTCTGTCCCCACCTAGTTGACCTCACCCCACCCTAGTGAAGTCAGTGTGTACTTCACTGACAAGTAGGCCAACTCCTCTGGGCCCTGTCCTGTCCCTCCAGGTGCACCAGCTATATGAAACCATACAGCGCTGGAGCCCCATCGCCTCCACCCTTCCTGAGCTGGTGCAGAGACTTGTCACCATCAAGCAGCTGCATGAGCAAGGTGGGAGGGGTGTCCAGAGGAATTGGAAAGTAGGCAACTTCTATTCCCTTTCCTCTTGTCTTGCATTCTAACCTCCCCCATACCTTTCTTTTGTAGCCATGCAGTTTGGTCAGCTCCTGACACACTTGGACACCACACAGCAGATGATCGCTAGTTCTCTCAAGGACAACACCACCCTCTTGACCCAGGTCTGCCCCTTTATTGGGTTGTTGCCTCCCTTCTCCAGACACACAGACCAGGTTCTCCAGCTTTATCTCAGTGTTTTCTGCCTTAGCCCCTTTGGTGGCATCGTTTGTAGCAGGGGCTTGGTTTGAGTCTTCACACTGTTTTTCAGTGGTTGTGGAAACTTAGCCTATGAACTTCGGTCTTGCCCTCTGGAAAATTATACTTATTTCAGAGTTATGTGGATGAGGTTAAATAACCTGGGTGAATTGTTAGTTCAATAAACATCAGCTTTTCCTCTGAAACCTACCCTTTCCCTCTGTAGTCTCAGCTTAGCTTTACCCTCTCTGGGTCCTCATCCAGGTACTCCTGAGCATAGTACATTGGAAGGAATATGGGCTTTCACGTCAGGAGCTAGGCTCCAACCTGGTTTTGCCACTTCATTTCTGACTCTGAGCAGTGAGTTTCACCTTCTTCCTTCATTCTTTTAGCAGTGTCCAGCACATAATGAGTCCTTGGTTTCTGTTGAGACACAGTTTTCAGTGCTGGGGGGAGGAGGAACATTAAAGTTGAGAGACCAGCATCACAGGACCATCAAAATAAGTGAAAAAATTTACTTGGTATAATGTTCTTCCTCTGGAGCAATTTTCTAACTTTCAATCAGTGAACCCCTATTTCAACAAAATCTTACTTGGCCCTCTTAAGAGTCCTGCCTGCTTAGCAGACCCTGACCTAGGTCCATGGTACTCCAAGAGTAGTTTGAAAACTACTGCTATAACCTCCCTGCTCTGAGGCCCGTAAGCTGTGTTTCCATTTCATTTTGTCCTAAGAATTTCTTTAGGTCCTCAGCTAGGTAAGCACCTGGAATTGACAAAGAATAAAACATCTCTATCACTTTCTAGGTACAGACAACCATGCGTGAAAACCTGTCCACAGTTGAGGGGAATTTTGCCAACATTGATGAACGGATGAAGAAACTGGGAAAGTGAGCCCCTTTGGGAGATGGAGAACAGGGAGATGGAGCCCCTTTGAACTATGTTAACAGGTTACATAGTTTCCCCTTAATTATAACTCCTGCATCCCCATCCCATTTGACACTGGGCACAAATGGTTCTTCTTGCATGTGGGGTTTATACCCCTCCTCTGACGACTAGAGTGGTCGCTGGGGATATTAGATGGTGGTCTCCCCTCAGGCCCTGGGCCCAGCCACATGCCAGGTCATGTCCAATACTGCTTTGTCCTGTGTGGGAAGGATTGGGTCTTGTCCTGCAGCAGTTTCTGTGGCTGATTGTAACACTGTACAACTGTTTCTGACCATTAAATGCTGTTGTACTCTGTGTGGCCTCTGCTGTGTTTCCTGGGGAAGAGGCAGCACTGAGACATTCATAGCATAATAGGCAGGCTAAGCTACTATCTACTACAGGAGAAGGAGTTAAATTGTAACCCGTTCATACCAAAGAACTAAGGAAAAAATGAGTACAGAGTCAGAGCCAGAGTTTCAAAATATTCTCATCTGTTAAATTAAGAGTATCTCCCATAGAAAAGCAGTGGAGGCCCCACAGGGCAAGTACAAAACAGAATTAAAACTCCCAAGGGTCTTGTCTTTACAAAAGAAAAGGCAGGAGGCAGCCCCTGGACAGCTGGTCATGCTGGCCGCTCCGGTTGGACCACGTTGCATAATCCTCAGTCGCATCATCACAACGTCTCTGAGCATTTTGATGGGGGGAGGGGAGAAGGGGCAGTGTAGTGTGTATGGGGGGAGAGTCCCAGAGGGCTCTCTTTATCCCCTTACCCCTTTTTTCTATCCCAGAGGATGGAAGCTGGCTACACCTTGAAATGAGGCTATGTGTTTCAAACCTGGGGACAGGGGTAAGAGAGGATCTGTGCTTTGAGCAACCTGAGCCAGAGACAGAGGGGTGTTGGAGAGGTGAGGGGAGGATGCATGATGCTTATTGCTTTGTACCTTTCACTGGGAAGGAGGACAGCAGCCAACAGTAGCTCACAGGTTTGTAAACTGAGCCTGTTGGCTTCAAGAAGGGAGGCAATGAAGTCGAATTAAATATAAAAGAGTCATTTGTGCAAAAATAACTTAAACAAATAAAAGACCTGGGGAAGGGGGTATTCCCCTTAGCCTGGTGGGAGCGGGCCATATACCCCCTCCCCCCCAAGGCCTTTTCAGTGACATGGCTTTGGGGGGAGGGGCAGAGCTTCCCTACCCCCTGCAATGGCTCAGGATGGGATTGTAGGGGAAGGGCTTGCATTTGTGCTCTGAGTGGGGAGTAGTGCCCCCACCCACTGTCCACAGGTGCAGGTGGCTGGCAGGGGCTCCCAAGGCTCAGCACTCAGCTTTCCCCAATCAGGGTCAGATCCAGCTCCAGGTATGGCTGCTATGGGGCCAGTTTCCTCCTCTTGTTTTTGGCAGGACGGCCAGGGCGGGCCCGGGGAGGCAGAGGGACAGCCGCCTATACAAGAGGGGAAGTCGAAAGAAGTGATCAAACAGTTAGGTATCAAGAAGTCTTTTATTTTCTCCCCACTCCCTTTAACCATTTTTTCCTCCTGCCCATCCCTATACGTACCCTCCCACCCACCCACTGGCACACACTTACTCGGGTTGTGGGGCTGGGGTCCAAGGTAACAACATCCTGGCGGGAGATATTGCTGTTCCGGGTAGGGCTGCAATAAGGGGCACAGATGATCAGGAACACCTCCCCAAGCACCAGATGAATTTCAGAGTTTGGGTGGGAAACTTTCTACATTTGGACAGTAAAGGCATAGTATCCTTATTCATATTCAAATGAGTATTTGCCCTTTTGAAAACCAAGCTACTTCTTTTAATCATTTCTACAAACCCAGCAAGAAGTGAGAAAAGGCCAAGATTGTGGTGGGCCCAATACTCACTTGTATTTTCTCCTCCGGCCTCGACGAGACTTTCTGACTACCCCTGGAGGCACCTGAGAAAAGATGGACTGTGTGTAGGGAAAGTTAAGAAAAGGCAGCATGGCTACAGCCATTCCTCAGAGCCCTTCAGCCAGACCTCCATCACTGCACGCACCTTAAGGTCCTCAGAATGGGGCCCAGGAGGGGATGGATCCTTGGGCTCAGCACCCCCTTCAGCCAGTTCCCCATTATGCTGCCAATGGTGGGTCCTTTTGGGGGACCGTTCCATTTGTCCATTGAAGCCTCCACGTGCCCCCCACTTGAGGGCTAATCGGCCAGGTTCCCGCCGGCTGCCAGGCTTTCGACCCCGGCCTGGCCTGGCCTCACCATTAATGCCCCTATGTCCCCCTCCTCCCCTCCGGCCCCGTTTCCCTGACCCCCTCCCAGTGAGCAGCTCAGGGACTGGGGGGTCGGGAGAACTGTGGGGTGGGGCTAAGGCACTGAGGGGAGGCCGAGCAGGCTCTGGTTCTAGGGCTGAGGTGGGGCTCTCAGGGGGCAGACGGGGGGCTTCTGGCTGCTCTGGAGGGATCTACAGGCAAAAAAATAAAATCTCAGTCAGTCTGCTTTGTAACTCAGAATGCTCATATTTCCAGTTTGGGGAAAAACTCATGACAAACATACCCCTAAACCCTCACCTGGAGACTTTGTAGCAGGCAGGCTAAGGGACTAGAAGCCTCTGAGAGGGGTGGAGGA